AAATTTGTAGCAATATTTTTCTTAGTGGTACATCAAATACAATGCTTCTTAAAATCAGTGGCATCATTAATTCCATGAAATTGAACCACCTATCATCCTTTCCCTCTTGTTATGGAACTCTAACCCTGCTTTTCTTTTGGGTACTTCTTCCCCACTGTGTACACTTAGTACCCAGCTCTTCCCTAGCTAGCAGTTCTCTAGTCTTCCTTTTGACTCTTTTGAGCTATCCAATATGTTTCTAAAAATTCCCTTGCTTCCTAAGTTAGCCAGAGTTAAGTTTCAATCTTTCAACCAAAAAAAACCTATCTGAAACAAGGTCCTTTTTTTTTTTATTTCACAATTTTTATTCATTTATTTATTTATTTATTTAACATCTATTACCTGCCAGATACTGTGCTGGATCTTTCATATACATTATTCAATTTATGTAATGCATAGCACATTATACATTCCTCACAAAATCTATTTTCTTTATTTTATTTTTTGTAATCTTTATTGTTGAATGTATTACAGATGTTCCTCATTTTTCCCCCATTGACCCCCTCCTCCCCATTCCCACCCCCCTCCTGCCTTTTCCCACACTATTGTCTGTGTCCATTGGTTAAGCATATAAGTTCTTGGGTTTATTTCTTCCCACCCCCAATCCCCTTCCCTTTGAGGTTTGTCAGTCCAGCAACCAATTTGTTCTTCTTAATCCCTTCACTTTTTTCACCAATTCCCCCGATCCCCCTCCCATCTGGCAACCAACAAAATGTTCTCTGTATCTATGAGAAGGTTTCTGTTCTGCTTGTTCATTTTGTTTATAGATTCCATTGTCGATAGATATGTATTCATTGCCATTAGATTTGTTGATATATTTTATCTTTTTCTTCAAAAAGACCCTTCAACATTTCATATAATAACGGTTTGGTGGTGATGAACTCCTTTAACTTACTGTCTGGGAAAGTCTTTATATGGCCATCGAGTCTAAAGGACAGTTTTGCAGGATAGAGTAATCCTGGTTGTAGGTTCTTGCTTTTCATCACTCTGAATATTTCTTGCCACTCCCTTCTGGCCTGCAAAGTTTCTTTTGAGAAATCAGCTGACAGCCTTATGGGAACTCCCTTGTAAGTAACTAACTGCTTTTCTCTTCCTGCTTTTAAGATTCTCTCTTTGTCTTGAACCTTTTGCATTTTGATGATGATGTGTCTTGGTGTGGGCCTCTTGGGGTTCATCTTGTTTGGGACTCTCTGTGCTTCCTGGACTTGGATGTCTGTTTCCTTCACCAAGTTAGGAAAGTTTTCTGCCATTATTATTTCAAATAGGTTTTCAATTTCTTGTTCTCTCTCTTCTCCTTCTGGCACCCCTATAATGCAAATGCTGGCACGCTTGAAGTTGTCCCAGAGGCTTCTTACACTATCCTCATTTTTTTGGATTCTTTTTTCTTTTTGTTGTTCTGATTGGGTATTTTTTGCTACCTCATATTCCAAATCGATGGTTTGCTTCTTGGCTTTACCTACTGTACTACTGAATCTGTGTAAATTATTCTTTATTTCAGTTAGTGCCTCCTTCATTTCTGACTGTGCTTCTTTCATTTCTGACTGCTCCTTTTTAATGCTCTTGAGGCCCTCACTAAGTTCACTGAGCATCCTTATAAGCAGTATTTTTAACTCAGCATCTGTTAGGTTGCTTATCTCCATTTTGCTTAGTCCTTCTCCTGGAGATTTTTTCTGTTCTTTCATTTGGGACCTGTTTCTTTGTCTCCTCATTACGGCTGCCTCCGTGTGTTTGTTTCTATGTATTACTTAACGAGAGGTATGGGGCTAGCTGAGACCAGATGCTGCTTATTTGAAAGAATTTAGGAAAACCTGAAGCAGGATCCAAGATAGGCCAATCCTCTGGTAAAGCAACTGGCAACAGCTTGGGTGGGCTTGAAAGTTGGGTGGGGTGGGGCCTCTGGGAGTCACCAGGGAGGGGCAATCAGTGTGAGCCAGGTTGCTGGAGGCCCAGATATGGCTGCTGTCTGCAGCCCCAGGGAAGGGCTCACCAAAGGAACAAAGGCCTCTGACAGCACATTTGTCCCAGAGAAAGCCCCCTCTCCAGCCCTCGCTCCAGTGCCAAACAGCTCAGTTCTTCCCTGTATGTTTCTGGTGCCCCTCGAGCTGCCTCCCCTCCAAGCTTAGAGGGAATGAGTCCAATAAGTCCGTGCGCGGGCCCTTTAAGAGGAGCTGCCTGTGGCTCCAGCCACCTCAGCCTTCCTGAGCCTCTGTTCCCGCTGGTTTTTCCAGCCAGAAGTGATGGGGATTCTCTTCCTGGCACTGGAACCCTGAGCAGGGTACGTGGTGTGAGACAGGGACCCCTCAGTACAAGGTCCTTTTTTAAGCTACCCAAACAGAAGACATTTTAGAGTATTTCCCTGTCACAAAGTTCACCAGCCTGTAACAACGTTACTGCTTCTCCTTACCACTTACTCTAGGTAGGGTGAGTAGTGTGTAGATGACACAAGAATTGTTGAAACAATGACACAGGAACCATTCTCTAAAACTGCTTATAAGGCTTCCTTCAATGAAGGCAACAGATACAATAATGTATAAACGCTTTGTGACACCAAAAAGTTGCTTTTCCAAGACTACACATAAAACTTACTTAATGCTTTGTCTAAAGTTTCTTCTTTAGTTGTGAAAAAAAAAATAGCTATCGATTCTTTTAAAACCTATCACAGAGATGAACACACACCTTGTGCCAAGATTTGACAGGTGGAAGTTTTCATGAAGAAGGCGTCAAACAAAATCATTTTTTAAAAGAAAAAATAATAAAAAGGCTGTACCACCCTCTGTTCTCTTTAAAGGTGACAGAAAATAAATTCTTTATCAATAGTCATTTGTCCAGGTTACAGCTAGGCTGCCAACCCCAGTCCACTTGAGATATGAAATTGGCTCTCGCTGGCACCTTTTATCCATCTCATCTGCCCTTTAGACCAAGGCAGAGCAAATGGAAGCTGAAGAATAAAAAAAAGAACAAAGAAAGAAAACACCACAGCGAGAGTTATTGTAAGAAGCCTGTACCATATGGAGAGAAAAGAAGACCAAATAAACCCTATGTGAAATATAATGAGTAAACATAAATGTAACAAAAAAAAAAAAATCCTTATTGAAATAAAATTCAATTAAAAATAATAAAATTTCAAAGAAATTCTTCTATAACATACTGATTTTCTTTGCTTCTTAATGAAAATAGTCTGAATTTTTTTTGAATATTTAAACTTTACCATCTAATTATATACTCCATCAACCTAACCCAATTAAATAATTATAAACTGCTCTGTGGGAAACTACAGAAATATACGCAGACTCTTTCACCAGTACTAACTACATCTTGATTTTAAAACCCTAAGCTATGAATCTTCTCTATTTCCTTGGAAAATGGTAGTCATGATCTAAAACTTACGTCCTGTTCCATACGTATCAAAAGCAAATTGAAACTAGGTTAGCACTTTGTCAAAAAAGAATATTAAAGAACAAGTTTCAAACCTTTCACTTTAGAGATGACATATTTAAGGCCCAAAGAGGTTAAATTATATGTTGAAGGACCTATGGCCATTGAAGACTAGAATCCAATTCAAAGACTCTTTACATTTGGCTCTCTCGAAATAATTAAGCATTCCAAAACAAAAACAAATGCAGACTAAGCATCCACTGCTGGCCGGCATGTGCTCTGTGCCCACAGAAGAAAGACACTTGCATGATCATACAATAATAACACTTTGTGTTATATGCAAGTTTCAGAAGAACACAGACGAGGAGCATCTGACTCTATCTTGAATTTAAAAGTTTTGACACATTTTGCCCTGGCCAGTTTGGCTCAGTGGTTAGAGCGTCAGCCTACGGTCCAGAAAGACCCAGGATCAGTTCCCACTAAGGGCATGTACCTCGGTTGCAGTTTGTCCCCGGCCCTGGTTGGGCCCTGCGGGAGGCAGCCACTCGATGTGTCCCTTTCACATCGATGTTTCTCTCTCTCTCTCTCTCTCTCTCTCTCTCTCTCTCCTTCCCACTCTATCTGAACAAAAAATGGAAAAATGTCCTCGGATAAGGATAAAAAAAAAAGTTTTGACACATTTTTATGAATAACTATATACTTTAAATCTTTCAAAAGTAGTATTTTTACCAAAAATTATCTATACTGTTTTGAATGTTGTTTTTGGGGGGTTTTTTGTTGTTGTTGTTTTTTTCAGTTTACAGTTTTTCAACAACATCTTTTTGAATCAGCACCTAAGGACCTACCTGCCTAGTATTGCATTGTAGGCATGAACCGTAACTCATTCATCCAGTCCCCTATGACAGCCATGGGAATTGCTTCTGGTTTTCTACTATTACAAAAACACTTCAATGAACATTCTTTTAACGGTTATTAGTAGTACTGTAGTAGTAGTAATGACAAAAATAATGTAGTAATATGTACATAGAAAAAAATTTAGAGGAATAAAATGTTCAAGATTGGTTATCTCCATAGAATGCGATTATAGAAGATTTTGAGTTTTCAACCTTATATATTTCTGATATATCTTCAGTTTTTTTAAGTGAGTATACTACTAATTAGTGTGATTTATTAATATGTGCAGCATGTATAATATATGGCATTCATTGTTAGCTATAATAGTGCTAACCTTAATAACCACAGTAGACAATACAATTTTCAATCATAAACACATTGAAAGAAACTAGCCTACGAAATTCCTGGAGAATCCTCAAGAACTACTTCTCATATATTGAGAAAACAGGGTTCAGTCAGTATTCATACAATAAAGAACCACACAACAGACATAAATGGTCATTTATAACCAAGTTTGGGGAAAGGGCTTTAACAAGCACAATCCAAAACCAGAAATGGCCAAGTTAATATGTTCAGCATTTTCTCAAGTTCAGCCAGACACAAATAATAAGTCTTATTACAATTAATCCTCTCTAAAAACATTTCATGATTATAACAAGTCCGCCAACATCTCTCACATACCACAAACTCACCGTTTCTGATGTTCGGATTCTTTCTTGGCTTGCTCCAGAGCCAGCTCCTCGGCTACTCTTCTTTTCAGTTCTTCATCAGAAACTATAGTCAGTAAAGAGCAAAAGGAGATAAAATTAGTGACTTCTTAAAAACAAAAGCAAGAACCCAGCTGGTGTGGCTCAGTGGTTAGGCGTTGACCCACGCACCAAGAGGTCGCCAGTTCGATTCCCGGTCAGGGCACATGCCCAGGCTGTGGGCCCGATCCCCAGTGGGGGGCATGCAGGAGGCGGCCAGTCAATGTTCTCTCTCATCGTTGTTTCTGTCTCTCTCTCTCCCTCTCCTTTCCTCTCTCTCTAGAATCAATAAAGGAAAATAAAAAAGCAAGAAAATGCTCAAGAAAGCAAAACTGAAAGTAGATCTTAAAGGGCAAAGTTCTGCCAGCTGGTCAGAGACTCCGTGGAACTACCTAAGCACTGTGGAAAAGACCAATAAATGCATTTCAGGAGTAATTTAATCGAGTTCCCTGGTGACCCAGAAATTTCCACACCTGCCAAAATTTATAATAAACTCAAGGAGCTGCTTATTGCCTAGTGGGGAATGAGCCATTAAGCACAAATTCTTTAAAATGATGTCCTATCATTAGAGTCTGACAATCGCATATAAAGGGAAAGAGATGATGTGAGGAAGTAACTTTAGGGAGGAAAATAACACCAAAGCACTCTCACTTTGATAATTAAGCATTTAAAAAATCATTTATTACAAAAAGAAATTATTTGTGTTTACATTCGATTCTTCGTGACTTATGAAAAAAAAGACATTTATAAACATTTGAAAGATATTTTTTTGGAATACATATCATTAAAATCCAAGTGCCAGCAACTGGAGAGAGACTCAGAACAGTGCTGAGAACTCGGCTGGAGCCTTTTAAATACCTTGTGACTTGATTTGAAACATCTGGTCTTTACAATTAGGAAATTTTGTACGATGTGTTCTATAAAGATTCTTACAGCTATGATAGCAAACAAAATAGACAAATTTTACATACTCCTTCAGAGCCTTCCACAAAAGAAAATAAGTAGAGAATATTTCCTCTTCACTAAAACCCACTACCCAAAATTATGGACAAGAAAGCACCAGAAACACTTAGGAGGATTTAGGAAGACACACAGGACCTGTTATTTCAAACAGTAGCCTACTATCATATGGACAACTAAACAGTACTGTCTGCTCCTCAACAACATTCTATTTGATGATCTGGACATTATAAGCTCCTTGCCTCAGGGCAGAGACAAAAAATGAATTACAATAGGATATGCAAAAGCCTTTTAAAAAATTTGCTGACACTGGGAAATAACAAACAAAGAAGATATATGAGTCAGAAGGATATTTTCTCTTACTTTTGGACTATCAGAAACAACAGCATCAAAGGACATCATCAAGAAGGTGAAAAGACAATTCACAGAATGAAAGAAAATATCGGCAAATCACACAGCTGACAATTAACTTGTATCCAGAAAATACAAAGAACTTTTACAATAGAACAATAAGACAATTTAAAATGGGCAAAGGATATGAATATGCATTTTTCTAGAGAAGTGTTACAAATGGCCAGCAAGACATGAAAAATAGCTCAACAGCATTCGTCATTTGGGAAATACAATTCAAATCTGGAATGACATGCCAATGTGAACCCACAATAATCTGTAAGACAGTAACAAGTGTTCATGAAAAGGAGAAGAAATTGGAACCCTCCTACATTGCTGATGAAATATAACATGATTTAACCACTGTAGAAAAGAATTAGTGTCCTCAAAATGCTAAACAAAGACACCACAGGACCTGGCAATTTCATTCTTAGGTACCGTATGTACCCAAGAAACTTGAAAACATACGTCTACACAAAAATTTGTACATGAATATCATGATAGCATTATTCATAACATCCCAAAAGTGAGATATACCTTAAATGCCCATCATCTGATGAATGGATAAATAATATGTAGAATATCCATTCAGTGTGATATTATTCAGCCATAGAAAGTCATGAGTATTACCCTGGCTAGTCTGGCTCGGCAGTTAGAGCATCAGCCCACAGACTGAAAGGTTGAGGGCTCAATTCAGATCAAGGGTGCATACCTGGGTTGCAGGTTCAATCCCTGGCCCCGGTCGGGATCATGAGAAAGGCAACCGATTGATGTCGTCTTCTCTCTTCCTCCCTCCCTCCCACTCTCTCTAAAAATCAATGGGAAAGTATCCCCAGGTGATATATGCTACCACATGAATGAACCTTAAAAACATCATGCAAAGTGAAAGAAGCCAGACAAAAGGCCATATACTATATGCTTCCATTGATATACTATGTCTAGAAAAGGCAAGTGCACAGACTCAGAAAGTAGATTAATTAGATCGGTTCCAGGAGTGGAAGGAAGGTGAGAATGGACAGTGACATCTAATGGGAAAAAGATTCTTTTCTGGGGTGTTGAAAATATTCTAATGATTATCTATCATCTCACAACTCTACATATACTAAAACCACTAAACTGCACACTTTTATTGGTAAATGTTGTATGTTACATGTCTCTCAATAACGCTGTTTAAAAAATGATAACCCGGTCAGTGGGCTCAGTGGACTGAGCATCGTCCCATGGACTAAGAGGTCCTGTTTGATTCCCGGTCAGGGCCATGCCCAGGTTGCAGGCTCGATCCCAGTAGCAGGTATACAGGAGGCAGTTGATGGATGTTTCTCTCCCATCAATGTTTCTCTCATCGATGTTTCCATCTCTCTCCCTTTCTCCCTTCCTCTCTATCCAAAATAAATCAACAAAAATTATATATATTTTAAATGACAGACAAGGAATCAGAGAAAGGAACAGAGTAAACACTGGTCTAATCCCAGCATCAACAATCTGGGGGATCTTGAGGAAGTTACTAACTGGGCAGCAGTTTTCTCTAAAGGATGTTCTCAAATAGATGTTCTCTAGGGTCCCTTTGAACTATATACTACATGCTGTGTTTGGCTTCTCCCTTACTTCATAATATACAGTATAAGAGTTACAGTTCTCTGCTTGGAAAAGGTCAGATAAGTTCAAGAAAAAAAATCAGAACAGGGAATTCTGTTTGCATTCAGGCAAATCTTATGATTTTACAATACTAACGGTTTCACAACAATACAAGTAACAGTGAAATTAATAATAACTCAGTAAAAGGTCTAAACACTCCTTGTTTTTCTATTAGATAAATAGAAAATATTTGGATAAATCAGTTAACCTATTCAAGTTTTGATTTCCTCACCCAAAAGCAGGACCGGGTCGGTTAAATGGGTGTCTGTCTGCTATGACGTTCTAGACTACGCAGCCCACAACGTAATGACTTTTACATTTTCATCTACTTATCATAAACAAGCAAAACATGACTCTTCATTTTTTTAGAGGTGTTTAGAGCTACTAGCTCTATTAGTAGCAAAAATTGAAACACATATTTAACCAATCAGTTTTACCTGATCAAACTACATACACTGAAGTTTAACATACCAGTCACATTAATCCTGACTAGTACAGCCAAACAGCACCAATCACGCCGCTTCCCCCGGATTGTTGCAAATTGCCACAGCAAAAATTTTCTCAGGAGAAATTCAATCAAATTCTCAATCATAAATGCAACTGGATTCCATTCAGTCTATTAAAGCTCATCTTCTGAAAGATGCCAGAACACCAGGTCTAAGTATGAAGCACTAAGATCAGTTTTCTAAGTGAGCTGCTAAAACAGCCTCGGATCTTCACAGTGTACATTGTGCCTCTTACACAGGGTCCTCCTAACAGGGGAAAAGCTGAAATCAGCAGTTAGCTTTTTTTGTTTATTTGTTAATCCTCACCCAAGGGTATTTTTCCATTGATTTTTTTAAATAGAGTGGAAGGGCCCTGGCCAGTTTGGCTCAGCGGTTAGAGCATCGGCCTGCAGTCCAGAGAGACCTGGGTTCGATTTCCACTTAGGGCGTGTACCTTGGTTGTAGTTTGTCCCCAGCCCTGGTTGGGTCATGTGGGTGGCAGCCCCTCGATGTGTTCCTTTCACATCGGTGTTTCTCTCTCTCTCTCTCTCTCTCTCTCCCCCTCCCTCCCACTCTATCTGAACATAAAAGTGGAAAAATGTCCTCGGGTAAGGATAAAAATAAATAAATAAATAGAGTGGAAGGAAGGGAGGAAGAGAGACACATCAATTGGTCACCTCCTGCACGAGACCCCAACCTGGCTGAGGACTGACCCTGCAACCCAGGTACATGCCCTTGACCGGAAATTGAACCTGAGACCTTTTGGTCCACGGGTCAAAGCTCTAACCACTGAGAAACCCGGCCAGAGCAGCAGTGAGTTTTTTATTATGATGTGATCAATCTGGAACAGAACAGCAAGGACTCCATCACCAAAGAGTGAGCAGCTTGCTGACTGGAAAGGAAGCTGTGCTGGAAAGACTGCAGAGAAGGAAATGCAACTTCCAGGTTTTTCTTCTTCCTCTTATCCACCTGCCTATCGCCCTGCCGTCTGCTGGGGGGTGAGGTGAGAAACAGACCGAGGTAACTGTGGTATCATCTAGGTAGGCTGGGGGGGACGCGGAAAAGGAAAACCAGCAGCAATGAAAAGGGTGGGACATTCCCCCACTGAAGAAGGCATGTTCCAAGGATAAGCTGGTTGGCATCACCTTTAGTCAGTAAAGGGATCAAAGCACAGCTGTCTTTCAAATGTCCTAGCTACTTCTGAAAATGGAAAAAATATATATATATCTATATAATACATAATATATAGATATATATATGTAGAGAGAGAGTTTGTGTGTGTGTGTGTGTGTGTGTGTGTGTACACACAACTTTTGGGTCTCACTTCCAAGGTCACAGCTGAAAAAGTAATTACTTCAGCTACAATTGAGAATTTGAAATAACAAAAGATAAAACATGACCTAGCATAGAGAGTTTAAAATCTAAAATAGCAAATCAAAGCCCAGGCAGGAAAATAAACTAGTCTAGTAATGGGTTTCCAGCAAATCTAAGTTTCATGTTATTTGTTTTTAAATCAATAGAATACAGAAAGCAACAACATATTTCTTCCGGTAGGACT